CTCATTCTGGAAATAGACTATATATTGATCCAGAATAGACCTTTTTGCTGTAAAAAGAGTGAATATCCAAGCAGCTTATATTGGTTTTCATATCTCAAAACTGAGCTTTTCCTAGTTTTTTCTGTTGCTCGGCATGTTCTACAGATTCTTGGATCTGTCGGTCGTGCTCTCTAAGTATTCGATCCACATCAATTGGTTTTGATGCTGATGAAAGTGGACCACAACATTGGTTGTCTTCCAGGAAGTTAAGGCCATCTGATTCTGCAGGTGGCAACAATTGTTCAATAAGTTGGTTCTTCTCTAGCTTGGAGTTATTTCCTTCCCCTTCCGCCTTTTTTTCATTGTCAGACATCAACCATTGTGCCTTTTTTAGGATCCGTGCCTCGTTCTCTCTTGGTAATCCCTGCATATTGGTTGATGGAACTAAAGAATGATACTTCTTTCCCTTTGAGACATGGTCATTCACTTAAGCTATTAATCCCTTCTGTAGCCTCCCACGTCTAACAGCTTTGAGGATCATGTCATTACACTCTCTGAGTAAATCCTGCATTTTGTCTGATTCATCAGGTAATGGACCTGTCCACTTCTTTTTTCCCTTTATGTCATGGTCACGAATTGGTTCTTCCCATATTACTCTCTGATTATCCCTTTGATAAGTAGTAGCAGACCTCTGAGTATAAGAGTTTGTTCCTTCATTTAGAACACCTCCTGAGACACATTCATTTGGCTTTCCAAGCCTATTCCTGAGTCGTCTTCTGTTTACTGACCGCTGTAATCCTGCATTAAATTCCCTAATCATCTTGGTTTCTTTAGCATTCATCTCATTTCTGGGAGGGAATCGTGGCAAACTTAAAGGATCACAAGCAAATGGTTCTGTTGTGAAGAACTCACCTTGAAGAGCAAGAGCTGCAGTTCTATGGAAAGTAAAATATCCATTAGTCCTACAGCAGCAGCAGGAAGATCATGAAAGGTTTCTTGAATTTTTCGTCTATAAGGCATTTGCGGCTTTAATATTGATGCATTGGGTAAGTCGGATTTTAGCCAAAAATCATCAGATGGAGAACCACAAAGCTTGAAGATATAATATACAACTGCTCAAATTCAGTTTTACCAGGCAATAAGGCTTGCCGGTAAATAGTTCACCGAGTACACAACCAACACCCCATGAATCAACTCCAACTCCATAATGATTTAATCCAAGCAAAAGCTCTGGTGGCCGATACCAGAGAGTCACAATTTTGCTAGTTAAGGGAATGCTTCATTCTGGATCAAAAAATGTTGACAGCCCAGAATCTGCAATTTTCAAGATACCATCTTTATTAACTAACAGGTTAGAAGTTTTTACATCTCGATGCAAGATACCCACGGCTATGGCAGTGATCGAGCCCTTTAACCAGCTGGTTCATGTAACATTTTATCTCAGGTTCAGAAAATTTGACACCTTTTTGTTCTTGAATTCCCTTGAGATCATACTCCATGCAATCAAAAACAAGGTACCCACTGCAGGACATTATCGAGGGGACTACACCTTCCAGCTTGATAACATTCAGGTGATCACCAAGCCTTCACAATATGACGATCTCTCTTGCCATAAACTTGAAACTACCGCGATCAAGATTGTCAGAACAAACCTTTTTTCAAGGCAACAATCTTATTGAGCAAACAATCACGAGCTTTGTAGACATTACTGTAACTTCCTTTGGCCAATCTTATGTATCTTCTCAAAAGTATCAGGTGTTCTTGGAAGCCATCCGATTAAAGGCTTCACTAGCTACTGCAACAAGCCAGTTACGCCATCCAGCAGCAACTAGTTCACTTTCTAAGCCTTTTGGTACTCCTCTGCTGAGTCTTGGATTCAGTCTTCTTCTCATGGTACTACTGTTTTCTTCCTTTTGATCTGTCATTCATTGAAATTATCTCAGTTTTTTACTAGATAATCCTTAAGCATGATGTGTATAAGATTTGCCAAGAATGTGGAAAAGAAAAACAGATACTACAATAACAATTACTCCGAGCTGCGCCTCAATCACAAAACAAGGCTAAGGTGAACTATATGAATCCTTATAATACATATGATAAAATTAAACAACTACACCTTAGTCCCAAACAAGTCGAGATCGGCTATATAAATGCTCATTTCTTAATCTAAGCTCATATCATATCATATCAAAGCATAAATATTTGATTTGTGCATGTCATACTTTATGTTAAATCTTTTCTGTATCTTCTGAAAATAAAAAAGACTGATGTTGGTTCACCTTCAGTGCCTTTTTGTTACTTGAAAATTTTCCAATGACTGGAACCCATAGTTTTCCAATCTAATTAAGTATTTTTTTCCTACTACTAATGAGAAAAAACAATCCAAGGGAGTTGACTTCATAAAACCAATTATAATGATAGGTTGAGTTGTCCTATCAGTTCAATTTGCAAATACATACTTGTTACTCCTTTCCCTCTGTCTCAAAATAAGTGACGTTTTGACAATAATTTTCTTTTTATCTCAAAATGAGTGTCACGGTAGGAATTCAAAACAAAAATTAGTACGTTTTAAGAAGTTCAACATAATACATGTAAACATGCGCTTTAACTTGGCGTTAGTTAGCATCTATGTAACAGGGTGCTACTAGTGTTGTGAATATGAATTGAACTCTCTTCGATCAATTGAATTCTTTAAGTTTGTAAAGCTTATTATTCAGTTATGTTAGGTCACATAAGTTTATTTGTTTTATTTTCTAAAAGTTAGGTTAGCACAATCTGTTTTGTTGGTGTTGTTTAAAAACTCCATTGAAGACTCATTAATAAACATTCAATTTCATTCTAATTCTGTGCGATTATAGTATGTTCTTTAATTTTACGTGTCGTAAGTATACATTTAGGGATTATTTGATTGGGAATAAATTATTTAGGATTAATTATTCTGAAATTAGTTATCATGGATGATTTATCTCACCATATATGTGCAGGGGTGAACCTGACCTAGGCCAAGGGGTGTCAAGTGTCACCTTCCCCGCAAACATTTTATTATATATAGAGGCCAAATTTTAATTATATATATATATACATAAAAGTATTGATACCTTTTGAAACAAGTGAAAGGTTTAATGTAGTGATTAAGAGATTGTAAATATTCCTTGAGGTTCCGTGTTCAAGTCCTGTTGGCCTTATATTTATCCCTCACATCAAACGATCCCTTAAATCCTACATGACAATACACGTGAGATACATTTAGATTGATTTGAATCATTTCACATAGCATGAGATACACTTGTAGGTTTGTGTCATTTGAGAGTTAATCAAGTCTTTTCAGTAATTTTTAATTCAATTTGAGTTGTTAATTATTGTGTTTTATAGTAAGTTTTAACGTAAGTTGCAAATATAAAAACTATTAAAAATATTTTCACTTTTATGTAGCACAAATCAAATTTGTAGAGTCAATTAAAATTTTCTCTTAACGTAATTTTCTTAATATGTCACAGGTCCAATATATGTTATTTCATTCATCCAGTTTATATGACAGAGAAAGAATTTCAAGGATCAATAGAATTTTTTTTTGTAACCATACTTTTTTCATTATTATAAGTTGTTAATTATTGCGATTTATAATATTCTAAATGCAGTTTGCAAACATATAAATTATTGTATGTCTTCTCTCTCTCTATTCTAATTATGTGATACAAATAAAATTTGAAAAGAATTAAATTTTATTTGATTGTAATTTTTTGATATAATTTCTTATAAAAGTTAAGTTATTACTTGTTGTGATATTATAATACGTTTTACATAATGTAAATTATTGAAAATTCGTTTCACTTAATTTAATACTTAAATGATGAAAATACTTTTTAAGTATATGTTCAATTTATAAATTTCTTGATATCATGGTGACCTCAATACCCACATAATGTTACTTGATTATAGATAAACATGAAGGCCTCGACGGCCACAAATAATTTAATTTCTATTCTATATGAATATCGGAATTAGTTAAATTTATTAGATGTTATGTTGATAAGAGCTTTGCTGACTCATAACTTATTTTTCGAGTTAAGATATATTTATTATTTTTTAATTTTGTGATTATACTATAAAATATAGTGGCGTAGTTTAGGGGTGTGCAACGATCGGTTCTGCTCGATTTTATGCATCATCGGCTTTTAAATATGCTAATTCAATAACAAATCAATAAGATATTTTTTAACGATTTTTAGACTATCGATTTTTTATTTTTGATCATTATCGATTCAATTTTTTATTTATCCAATAACATAGTGTCTGTAAGTTTGATTTAGTGAAACAAGAAAAATAATGAAAATTGCATCAATAAGAGAAAATATAGTACGAAAGCTATTAAAAAAAATTGATGACAAGGAAAATCCGTAGCCGTTATTCTTTGGGTGCGCACAGGGTAAAACCGCCGCTCACATAGGAAAAGTAACCGCTCACAAACCTCTTGCTTTCGCTGGCAAGAGATCTCAAACTTGAGACCCCCAACATGGAAGTCTGAAGCTCAAACCACTTGGTCATCCCGAAGGGTAGTACGAAGGTTATAATTACAAGTCATGACCGTCAAAACATAGTATGAAATTTCTTATGTTAATCAAAGTACAGACCTTTACAAACTTGTAAAAACTACAATCCATAATAACAAACTAAAACTAAAATCAAATAATTCAACAAGACTTAAACTAACACTAAAATCAAATAGCTATAATTGCAAACCTAGTGTCAAGTGGGTAGAGTACTAATAATTAGAAATAATTATATTGTCTAGTAAATTATTACTATCTTATTGGGTTATCGTTTTATCCAATAACCCCAAAAATTGATATCAAATCAATAATTCAATAACTTTTTTAAATAAAACGTCCAATAATCTAATAATAATAACCCAATAGTATTTTTTCAATTCAAAATAATAATCGATTCGATTTTTGCACACGCCCGAGCAAGGGTCGGCTCGGGTCTAACCCACAAAAATTCACGAGTTCCTTCAAAAGACGTTTTCTTTTTTCATCAGCATTCAGTACCGAAAACCCTTGTTGCGTCTCTTCCCCCATTTCAATTTTCTGCAAATTTTTTTGGGTGAAGAGTGATATGGAAAGGGTAACACAGAAAGAGATTGGTAGTAGTAGTACTAGTAGTAGTAGTAGTAATAGGAAACAAATCCCAGATTCAGTGATGGAAGCAGTGAACAGAACCTCAAAAAACATGGACGATTTGAGTAGTAATGTAGACGAATTTCTGTCTCTGTATGGCGCTGGTGTTTTTCCCGATTTGGGTCCTCTACAACAAGCTCAATCTTTGATTTTGCTGGCTAAAGCTACAACAACACTCTTTGCATGTACTCCTTTTTCCTCTTTTTTTTCTTGTGAGTTTTGAGATGTTGGTTTGTTTGTATGAGTAAATATTGGTTTTTTGATTGGTTACAGTGAGGCTTAGGTGTAAAGGGATCAACCCAGATGACCGTCCTGTCAAATTAGAGTTTGTATGTGTTCTTCTTGGAGATTTTGCATTTGTTATTCTATGGTTTTGTTCCTCAGATAATAGTAACCCTTTTGGTTGTGAGGGATTAATTGGTTGATTTGGTGTAAGTTTTAATTCGTTGTCTAACTTTTCTCTACGATTTTGTGGTTCTGTTAATTAATATAGGAACGTTTGAGCTTGTTCCAAGAGAAATTGCAGGAATTGATGGACTTGAATAAAGGTAAGTTTGGATCTTTCTATAAATTTCTGTGTGGTAGTGAAATAGATAAAGAGTTGTGCCAGAAAAGTTATGAAGTAAATGATTCGTTTAAAGTAATAACAGTGTGTCCACTTTTGATACTATTGTTTCTGATCAGTAAAAAAGAGAAAAGTATCATGCTTGCCTCCCATAACATGATGAAGAATGGGTGTGTGCTGGAGTGGATATTCAAATGATTTCTGTTTGTTCAGCATATAATAGTTATTGTTGAAGATGTGTTATTTAGAAAGTTTGATTTGTTTCCATATGACGTAACAAGGACAAATGTTGAATACTGACTATTCTCAATTTGTCCTATAAGCGCCATTGCGACCATCAGCAAGGATAAATCCGCAAGGTGCTGCTCGATTTATCGAGCATTCGTTGCCTGATCTTACACCTGGTAAGTGCTAAACTACTTTCTAAATGTGTGCAAGTTCCATTGTGTTTGGCGTGTCTTAAAACAAGTCTGTCTTGCAGAGCAGAGAAAAAGCATGAGAGAAATCAGTAAAGCTGACGGGCCTAGGATTAAGTATCTGGAAAGAGTTGTTCATAAGAAGAGGAAGTATTCCGACCAGCAATCTGTTCGAACTGCTACCCAGGAGTTCCTTGAGAAAGCTGCCCGTGAACTTCTTGGTGAAAACCAGAGTGGTTTTAAGGGACCTTTACAACTGCCAGAGGGTGATGATGAAGACATACCTATGAGCTGATTTTCTGGTAGATTTTTAACTCATTTCTTCCAGTTTATATCTCTCTACTTTATGGGTCTTGTAGGTTCGCTGCTGGCATATTATTTTATCTTCTCAAAATATTTTCATGATTTTCCTAATTCCAAGTGCATGTGCTTATGGTGTTGTTGTGTGGGTATGGAATAAAGTTACTCAAATCTACCTCCTCTTTTGTTGAATTTGTAGCTGAGATAGAGATGAATTTTTTTATATTTCTTACGTATAATTTTTTAGAAGTATATTTCCAACACCAATTGAACGTATTAGTGACTCCATTGTTTTTTTCCATGGAAAATTCATGACGTCTTCCATACATTGCCGTAGGAACTGTCTGATGCAGCTTCATATGGACCAAGTTTAACACGCTCTTCTGATGATGGAGATACTAAGGACTTCCATTTTGTTTTTTTGAAACATCAAGAGATACTAAGAACATACATATAATTCAACTCTATTAGTTGGCTCCGTCTTTTTTCTATGAAAGAATTGAACAACACGTGTTTAAGAGCAAAGCATGTGCAGCACATGTTCTGAAAAAACTGCTTTTATGTGTTGGCCTTTTGGACCATGTCAAGAAGATGTATGCTGTATAGGTACATTTCTTGAATTGCACAACTTTCTTGCTCTAGTGCAAATGCTATGGTCTTCCTTTTAGTTTATTTGGCTTAGTTTGTTCACCTTCACTTTCGTAGAAAGGATATAGACTTTAGATTATGCACTAATTTTCATGCAAGTTGAAAGAAATAGTTGTGTCTGAAGGATAACAGATTCTTGGAGATGTTGGGTATCCTCTTACCAGTGTGCTACTACCCTCAATAGCTTCAAAGTGAATCAAGTCCATTCTCAAAAGGAAATGCAGAGTGCAGTTGGTTGATGAACATGTAAAAATGCTTTTACTCATCCATATTGAAAAGCATAAATGATTTTTTGAGGTTATTATATAATTGTCAGTCAAATGTTATGGCCAAAGAGATCCATGTTGGGGATCCTCTTACCAGTGTGCTACTACCCTCAATTAGCTTCAAAGTGAATCAAGTCCATTCTCAAAAGGAAATGCAGAGTGCAGTTGGTTGATGAACGTGTAAAATGCTTTTCCTCATCCATAATGAAAAGCATAAATGATTTTTTGAGGTTATTATATAATTCTCAGTCAAATGTTATGGCCAAAGAGATCCATTTTGTGACGTGATCTGCTTTCATCAAGGAATCGAAAACAACAGCTTTGACCAGTTGCAGCATCTTTTAGGAACATGTCAAAAGGTTATGGTGAAAATGGACTTGTATGACACTGTAAAAAAGGACTTGCATGATATATCAAAGTGGCTCTAATCTAGATATTGAGGGTGCAATTCTATTGTCTTTTCTTAGTCACACTCATCATAATAGGTCAGAAATGCAATCCTCATGGGAATCTTGCCACTTACTGTCTTCCACTAGGCACTAAGTTTGGTTTTAAATCTAGATCCTTCTAATAAAAAGTTACCTTCCTAAAGATGCTGAAGTACAACGGTCAAAAAGAAAATGAGAAAGGAGTAGAGGGGTTAGGAATAGAAAGGTAGGATCAAGCAATCAAAGATAAGTCACTAAAAGGGCAGCTCCATGCTCCAAGTTTGCACCATAGACGGTGTTGCTGAAGGGCCGGATCTACATGGAAGGGTGAGGGTGCCACGACACCTGGTCACTCAGCTAAATTTTTCGGACACACATAGGCTTTTTTAATTAGTAATGATATGTATGAAGGTTGGCCCACAGCACTATAGTAGTCGCTGGTCTGGTGGCCATTGGCCTGGGTGCCAGGGGCTATGTCTAAGTTCGAATCCCCGTGAACATTTTTAAAAAAGAATTTATTCACGAATCACACTCTAAAGCAAATAAATATCCATAATTCTTGTACCTTTTTTTTGTCTTTTCTTCTTTTTCTAGTTCCCTTTTTTACATGTTTGTTCTTATTCCGGTGTATATTTTTGCTTCTTTCTTCTTTTTTTTAAAGAAAAAACTTCAAGTATTTAATTGAATCTGATTTTAATTTTTTTTCTTTTATTTTCCTTCAAAATAAATTTTATCTGTTCAATTTTATTCCTTGTTTTTAATCTTTTGAACAAAAGTAACGGAAGCAAAGCCCAATGCATGCTACCTAAGTACTATAATAAATTCAAATGTTACCAGTTTCAAAAAACCCAATAATACTAGATCCACATTTAGAGCGAGCATCAGGTGATCTGAAGATATGGATCAGTACAACTAAGTAAATTTTAGATGATGATTTTTACTGTCCTTTTTTTTCCTTATGAAGTACCTGTGATTTATTAATGGAACATCCGGTGGATGCAAAGCAATAGAAAAGCTTTTGCAGCTTCTATACCTAACTTAAGGAGCAAACAAAATCAAGGAATATTTTACATTATTTACATTGTTCAGTTTTTTGCTTTAACAATAAGGTGAGGTATTTCGTTGCAAGCTTGGGATTGGTGGTGATTCCCCTTTCAAGCGACTCAGGTTTCTTTCCTTCCATAATGTCCCAGGAAATCATCCGCGATATGACGTGCCGTAATCTTTTTATTGATCTGTACCATCAAAACTTCTTTTGCTGTTTGAGGCAGTACACGAGCACAAAACATGTGCAAAATATCCTTTGTTGTACTGTAGTGAAGAGAGGTGGTAAATTTTTCTGAGATGTAATTGCACAAATAACAACTAGTACTTGGTACTAGTCTGCTCTTCTCGAGGTTTTCTTGATTAAGGCATGTCTCCTGTATCACCAACTCACTAAAACATGCGTAGGAAAGTAACTGACCCTGAAATGAGATTAATAGCTATTATCTTGGAGGTATGCTATAATAAGAACATATATGAGACCCGTACACATTAATAAATGGGTTTTAGAGCCACGGGACCGACACCAATTATATGTTATGCAGTGCTTCCTTCTTAGGGAAGAGGGTCTTTTGGAAACAACCTCTCTACTTCGAAGAGGTGGAGGTAAGGTCTGTGTACATTTATTTTACCTTCCCCAGACCCCACTTTGCGGGATTTCACTGGGTATGTTGTTGTTGTAGTAGTAGTGCTTCCTTTAACCTTGAATGATTGATATTCTTTCCTTTTTGGTCCATCTAGAAATTGATACCTTTTGATTTTTGAATCTATTTTGTACTTGTGGATACCAAGGAACACGAAAACAAGTACATTGGTAACAAGGCTAATCGTTTGTATTTATCCATATTTTACTTAGATTGTTGTTTCTTTTATGAATCACATGTCTAATCAAACTACCAAATAAATCGGTGCAGTGGAGGTAGTACCTGTGGATTTGTTTAGCAATTTGGTTTTAGTTTTGGTGTCAATGTCTCCAGTTACTTCCTGTAAATTTCTTTAGCTCACAGTCAGGTACATGTTTCAGTCTTTTAATTAGTCACCTCATGATTGTGGATTTTTCTTTTTGCAACTTCCTCGGATATATGAAAGTTTACATGTTTTCATAGGGAAATGGTTTAATTAACAAAGGAGGGAATTCCCCTAAAGTAGTGGATACAAAAAGTTGAGTTTAAAATTTCCCTCTATATAACTCTGTTTATTTAGAGTAAATCTTGAGTATCAGTTAGTGATATTCTGTCAATTTCAAGTCTCTTACTGTATTTCCTACTCCAATAAGTAACATCAGTACTCATGCTTGGTGATACTGAAGTTCCCTGTGATGCTGAAGGAGACGTTTTCTACTGCTGTTTTCCCATTTCTGTCCCTTTCAGTTCAAAACGTCTTTTAAGATATAACAAATATAAGATTCATGTGTCTTCATATCTGATTGAGCTTATGGCTGAAATAAAGATGAATGAGAAGTTTTATTATTTGTCTTCTGCAAAGTTTTGGCTGGTCAAGGGTTATCAAAATATAGTTTTGGGTAGTCAAAAGCTTTTCCAGAAAATGATGAGAATGCGACAAGATTTTTTTTTAATAAATTGCAGACATGCAACTTCGGCGGAGTATATTTTAACCCTTAGAATGACGATCTTGTATTATAGCTGTTCTTAGTTTTTGATGTGCTAACTTCTAGTATCATCTACTACTTCTTTTGTGATGCTCAATTATCTTATGATAAGCAATCGGAATTAATTGTTATTTGTGTTTGAGCAGTAAACTGTTCTCCGCAACCCTTTGCAAAGAATAGTTTTGACTCCATTTTTCTTAAGAAAAAAATGTGTGATCCTCTTGGTTGTGTCTTGCTTTTGGTTAACCATGATATGAATTCTATGGTGCAGAGATTCTCTTCTGCTGATGAAGCCATGCAGGTGCGCACCAGATTTTGTGCTGATGAGCTTTTCAAGCATTTTGTTCCAGTTCCAACATATGATGAAGATACTCGGATCATACACAAGCTTTGCAGCAATTGCTACTTTAGCCGCTAATCGTTGATGCAAGTTATAATTTAATAGAGTCTGCTTTCGGTTTTCAGCTATGAATCCAAAGTTGCTCCGTTTTTCTGTAAGGTTTGTTTATTGTAAGAGAAAGCTGGCAGTTACATGTACAATAGTGCAGCAGAAACTAGAAATTATCTTTTTTGTAGTTTCATTTGTTTTCAATAGATCCTGTTGCAGTAGCAGCTAAAAGCTGGGATTTTTTTTATTACACTTTCTATGACAAGATGATTATATGGTCAGTGTAGAAGAAAAGCAAGCATGTTCCAGATTCAGCTTTCAATAGTTTTGTATTGTTGGTACGGTTTTTAAATATGTTAAACCAATAGTCAAACAAATAAAATATTTTTTATCGATTGTGGTCCTTAATGGTTTGATTTCGGGTTTCGTGATTACTTCATAAATGTTTATGACTTAGAAATAATAATAATGAACAATACCTGTGCAACATAGTGAAATTATGAGGAATATGATTTTTACTTTAGGTTTTGATAGTTTGTACAATATGAAGTTGTGAACTCAAGTTTCAAACTCACAGTAAAATATAAATTTTGATCCACTTTAGACAATTTGTATAATATGAAGTCGTGAACTCAAGTTTTGAACTCACAGTAAAATATGAATTTTAGACTAAAGTCATAGTAAAGTATAAATTGAGGACTAAATAACAAATACATCGATTTATCCAATACTAAAAATTAGGTTTGGGCCATTAAAGTATAGGAGGCCACTTTGTAAGAAGACTTGGAACTAATTCCCAAGTTATTGGTAGGTCCACAATGTTCGAGGATGTTACCATTTCTCTATTCTAGCTATGAAGTTTCATGTTAAAGACACTTGTTCATTCCTTTATCTTTGAGACTATTGTTGTAAGCCTATATGTGGCTCATTGTAATGAAGTATGAGTTATGCTCAAACGTTGTAATACTCTTTAGATGGTATAATGTGAGACAATGTTTTTAGACTATATCTTATGTATTGGTTATGTTGTCTATACTAGAAGCTTATATAAGCTTCCACAAGCGAGGAGTCTTATGTAAACTTTATATATGATATGTGAAAGGTATACCTCACTATGTTAAAGTTTTTACTTTTCCGCATTTTGACCTATGATATGTTATGACGAATGCTAAGGGCTTATCCAAGTCCTCTCTGAAGACGAAGACACCGGTTACGCCTAGGGGTGTTCCCTAGTCGTGACAGATTAACAGTAAATCAATAGCGTGCTAATTTCTTTTTATAAAATCATTAAAGTTCTGTTAACTCAATGACCAATAGTAATAAATCAATAACACTTTTTTTTTATTTGATTTATCAATCCATTCAATTTTTGAACACCACTTTAGAATATTTAGTATCTAAAACATGTTAGTTGTGTTACATTATAGCTTAATAAATTTGCTTGTAAATTCAATTTCTTTGGAAACATACGCAGATATAGCCTTTGGAGGAAAGCCAGATTATTGGAGTCCCAAGCCTAATAGGTAAAAAATATTGATAAAAATTTCAAAAGCATATATGATTTTTTTTTAAAAATCAAAACGGTAAAATCACCGGTGATGTAGCGATTTAGGTAGGTGGTGTTAAGGAAAATCACTGCAGTAGCAACCATTTGTAAATTTTTTTTTTTTAATTTTTATTAACAAATCGCTGCCAAGACTGTGATTTGTAAATGATTATTTTAAAAAAATTGTAAATTGTTGCCTATGCAGCGATTTTACTTTTTTTTTAATTTTGAAGTAAATCGCTGCCTTGGGCAGCGATTTCACCTATTTAATTTTTTGTCGTAAATAAATTATGATTAGCCAAAAAAATTCAGATTGTCAAACTTCCAAATTCACATTTCACATCCAGACATAAATATTAACACGCATGTGAATTTTTTTTTTACAAATTTGACGTATTAATTTACTTTTAAAAAAAAATTAAAAAAAAATAAGTGAAATCGCTGCTAAGGCAGCGACTTATAATTTTTTAAAAAAAACATTTACCAAATCGCTGCCTTGGCAGCGACGATTTGTTTAAAAAATTAAAAAAATAAATTTTACAAATCGCTGCTACTGCAGCGATTTACCTTAACGGCACCATCTAAATCGCTACATCACCAGCGATTTTACCGTTTTAATTTTTTTAAAAAAATCATTTACCCTTTTGAAATTTTTATTAATATATTTTACTTTTTAGGCTCGAAACTTCATATTATTGTATTGGAGTGGAACGGATGAAATGGAGATTTACTTTTAGGACTTTGTGGAATTAGAACATGACTTAAATATATCGATGTGCTTATGCTATATAAAGAAATTTCAACATAAAAAGGTTTTGACATTTATATTAGGACTCTCAAAATAGATCAATTTGATAAAGGTTCTACATTATTCATGTATTTTCATGAATAAAATTAAATATTCTTGAATAATAGCATAAATAAATATATCAAATTTTTACATATTCTTTAACGAGTTTTATAGACGAAGACTAATGTATCATGCAACAATTTTTTTGTAAGATATGTAAATTTAAAGTTACTAAATGTATTTGATATATAGCAATTACCACACAGTAATATATCAATTTCAAACCTAATATCTTATGGACAATAATTACTTATTTAATGTATCTAGTAGAAATACGACACTTATCAATTTAAACAAGATACATAAACAGTATTGATTGAGAAATTTATCATCTCGAAAACATAAATCAATAAACGATCACACAACATTATAAAAGGATGGATGATCCATCAAAGCTATGCATTTCTTCAACCTTTGTCTATTGTATTAATGCATAGTGGATATAGTGAAAATCCGTGCTCTTGTTTCTTCTCCTCAACAGTGTATCGGGTCTCCAATTTTTTTCTCAACTCATTAATCTAATTCAGCTGCAATAGCTGATTTGAGATTCACAAAATCAATACTTTGACCAACAGTAATTTTATCAGTTTCGTATATTTCATACCTCACTTCACTTTCTCAAAATTCGGAATGCCTCAACAAGGTTGGCAGATTCATGTTCTAGCATGTGAGGGATTGAATCCAATTGTCAATAACATTTTCCGTGATTTCCTTATACTACGTATCAGATTTTCAAAATTTTCCTCATCTCATCGATCTCCTGCAATGTTGTATTTGAGATTTACAAAAGAAATTATTCGTCCAATAACTATTCATTGTGTATCTCATCAAATTTGTCAATTTGAATTGCTCTTCAATGAACAAGGAGCACGATGAATGGGGAGAAGAAATTTGATTTTGAATTTGTTAGTTCTATTAGAATTTTGCGTCTGATTGATTGACTTTAAGAACAAACATGTAAGCGTAATTTATGAAATTTTAATTGCATTTTCCATTTCCCCCCTTTTTAGTGTAACAACTTGATACATAATATATTAGTAAATGTTGTTTACATAAACTCTCATCATTGTTATGTCGCAGTATCAACACCTATCATCCAATATCATTTTTTGTAATCTCATCATCTTGAATTGGCTGAAAAAAAACGACTTTCAGGGATTAAAAGCATGTTTTAGTATATGATATGTGTATAAATATGATAAATACAAAATGGTTTATTTAATGAAGTGAAATCAATTAAAGTAATGAAGTTTGGAAAAAACAAGATAGAGAAATTTATGGATCATTTTCTTCCTCTTACACTTGCTATTCCAAATTGGAATGGTGAATGACTTCTGTACAAAAGAAAAAGCCTTCTTCTTCTAGATACAATACCTAAAGCTCACTGAACTTGAGCTATCGTAATTTCGTTTTTCGCAATCAAAGACTGAATCAGTTGCAAAAGAAGAGTATTTACCTTGCAAAATTGACTTCATCCTCATCTCAGATTGAATTTGTGGCTGTCTGTTCAACAAAGGCCTGTAACAATGGATAGACTTCAAATGTCTGGGTAAAGTACCTTTTGAATGTGCATTCTGTGGTGAAGATGATGAAAGTATTCACACACCTATTATTTTGTCTGATCCCATACTCATAATAATACATGTAGCAGACTCCTTAAATGACTAGGCAACTCCAGGCCTGTTGGTAGACATTACGTCTTTGCCGCGGTACATGAAAGACCTCCCTGAGATTCCAGAGAGGTCAAGTTAATGCAGAAAGATTTTGTAGAGAGACTTGATGCAGTGGGTGATCATGTAACTTACAAATTTTGATTAATAGAAAGCTGTCTGTTCAATCAAAAATAAAGGAGATAGATCTATAAATTATTTATGACATTGACCAACCTAAATTACAATGAACTAGCAAAACCACTTATCCAGAATGAGACATTGACATATATATAATATACTACAGTCTACAGATCTTCCCCTCATGAATCAAAGGATGCATAGGTCTCAACGTTTGGACGTTGAATTTCTTCACGGCATACTTGATCAAGAGGGTTACAATTGTATGTCCTTTTTTAAGTACATAACATTAATTTTGCCCTGGAAACTGAAAAACTGTAGGTTCATAAGTTTGGAATGAAATAGAGAGGACCTTCTTTTTTCCCCTGAAAACAAGAGCTATTCATTTATCTTGCGCAGAGAAAAATGTCGTATTAGCCGATATGTCTGTCCAGGAGTTGTCGATTTCGCCTTTTGAATAAATGACTCAGGAAGAAAGCATATGATCAGGGTGTAGCTTGTGCTGCCTTCACCTCATCAAGGCATGCCAAGATATCTTGATACTCTTTGGTGTTGGAGAAAGCCTCGGCCTGAATTTTACAGGAAGTGAGTTGCTTTGCTTAGTAAGGGTTATGACTAGGTATACCGCAAAAACATCAATCTAGGAGACCAAAAGAACTACCTGCTTGATTGTGTTTTTTAAGTGCATCTCGGCGGCAGACAACTCCCTACGGCTACCATTACGCCGAGCTATTTCCTGGTAAACCTTGCAGAGTTCCAACGAGGCATGTGCAAACTTTGAAAACCGGTCTTTATCCTTCCATAGGTCAGATCCCTGTGAAGTCATTGTAAAGAGATCGGAAATAGAAAGTAAAATGTCAAGCCTGATACAATATCTAAGTCTGTACAAGGACTTCTTTAGCCTGGAAACATTAGCAGAAGAAATTTACAGTGCTCTTTGGCAACAAAGGTCCAGGGAGGTGACTACTAGAAAATGGCAAGACAAGCAAATATACTCTGCAAAATGAAGTCCGCCATAAAAAACTGACAGGAAATGAAGTGTTAAGAGCATATAAGTGTGCACTCAGAGCAGAGGATATACCATATGTATGAATGCTAAAACTTCTGGAAGATATGCACAATTGGAGAATCATGAACCATGAACCAAAAACTAACGAATTTTTAAGTCAAAGATAGCATCAAATCCTAGTAAGTTAGTCATCCTTTTTGCTCCGATAGAACCAATAAATATGAATGGTTAACCTACAGAAATGCCCCATTGGACAACCATTAAACAAGCACCTTATCAATTATCTCCCCCTCATATATCCTATCCTCTATATTTATCTTACTCAGCTTTACTCTATCATCTTACCCAACCAAATATCTATCTTCCTGGGACCTAGCTGTTCTAGTTTGTAAAACTAGGGATATCAACATGACAAACCTAAACTACAATTATTCAGCAACCAACTGCATCCTCAGTGATGGCTTCCAGCACATACAGCAATTTCTTACTGCTAACTCAATAGTAGCTTAGCACTTCAGCTTTCCTCTAAAATGCATTTGAACGCCAAATGCCAAACTATATCACTCTCTTCCTCACATAAATTCTGATGACATAGATTAGAAAATAAGAATAAGTAGCCAATGGTTTGACGACAGTCCTTCACACTGAGAGTGCTATCCAAATGAAAATGGTCTCTCTAGTAAGCAGTTATGTCACACTAGAAAGATGAGGGATCCAAGCTCTATAATTTTGTGAGGAAAAGAAGACAAACATGTGAGCTAACAATACAGTATTTTCTTCAAATACTAGCAGCAATACAGACGAAAAAATACGGAACTTCATGGTGGCTTCATAGTACGAACATTCATTAGTTTTAAAAACGTCAACACAAGGTACAAGTTAAGGACTAGTGATTTGTTCTCACAGCAACACATTCTTTTCTAACTTCACAGAGATAAATAATCACAATCTTAAGGGAGAAGCACAATCTTGCTAGGACCATCTTGTACGTAACCTTTTCTTTGAGTGTCATCTCCCAACAGATAGCTTCCTTTTTTACAAGCTTCAGCAAAGATAGTGATATAACAAGTAGAAGAAGCATATAAAAACATATGCACAAGCGCAGATATGAAAATTAATTTGCTGTCTTACCTGGTATGATCGGACTTGCTTAAGAAAAGCCTCTGAACACATCGCAAGATCTCCTTTGAGTTTATGCCACCTCGCATAGAGCCCCCAAATCTCAGCATTCCCACCAGTTTGAACAATCTACATCAAAGTAAAAGGTTCTTCACTGTGATGCTACATTATATAATTGTGCCATTTTGGGACTAAAAACCAACTTTGTTTTTGTTTTGTTTGTAGACAAAAGATATCCTGATATCCTATCAGAACTATGGCTGGATCATTTCAGGTCTACGGGACAGCTGACCTAGGCCTTTTTCACAAGCATCGGTAATCTATACTCGAGCTTCCAAGTTGGGCTGCAAGAAAACTCAAGAGATCCAGTTCTCTAAGGATTTCCTATTGCTAGCATAGTTGGGACTAGAGAAAGTCTAGTTGCATGGAAATTGCCTGCTGGGCAGACGAGTTCAATTAATTACGCAACTTTCAGTGGTTTCTCAAGTAGATGATCCCATTAATCAGATTAATTTACATAAGCCCAACATATATGGATATACCAATATGAAATGGTTATTCTTTGTGACATTACTCTTAACCTGCAGGTCACACAACCAAGAACCTTGAAGGACAGACAACTCGTCCATAGAACCCAAATATTCTAGGGAATGAGCATATAACTCAAACTCTTGTTTAGAGAATTGATACTCTATTTCGTGTTTTGGTACTCCAGATAGCTTATTTATGGATAAAAATGGGTAAACCAAATGGATAATATGTAAGGTAATAAGTACTCAGATTACAAGATTTTTCTTTTTCTCATTTTAGAGTGAAGTATGAACTTTCATGTTTTTCTAGAAATAAAATAGACAAATGATTGATCCTGATTCAAGGTCGGGAGGTCAAAATTTTGAGCCTGGGTCCAGATCGAGAGCCAGGTTGGGGTCGGGTTCCAAGTCGGGACCATTCGGGTGGTGAGGTTTAAGGAAAGTTTCGATAAAATATTTCCTGGTTTAAGGAAAGTTTCGATAAAATATTTCCTGATTTAAGGAAAGTTTTGAATTTTCTTCCCTTATTTATGGAAGTCATTTTTTCTTAAATTATAAGAAAATAAGTTCATTTGAAATTTTTCCTAAACATTTAATTCAATCAAACATAAGAAAATTGATTCATACCAAACACACCCTTAATAAGTGTATATTTTAGAAGTTACATTTCTACACCTTACATGCTTTAAGGGGAGTGCAATAGGTGGATACCCATGGATTATCCATATTTTATAATTGATGATATGGGTTGATCCATATTGACTCACTTTTAAATGATCGGATAACCAACCCATTTAAAATGGGTTAATCAAGCAGATAACCATAAATTTTACCCAGTTTGCCACCCCGAGTGCCATATTTGAGTTGTGACAATGAGTTGACCAAACAACGCACGAGCAGCAAAGACATCATACTACTTGTGAGAATTTTGTTTGTAATCTAAAAATTGATTGGCAAGAATGAAATACATGCAAAAAATAACAAAAAAATAACAAACCTGTCTCCTTTTTTAACTGAGAAAGTAATGATTCACAATCCTGTGTATTTTGCTTAAGTTTTGTGTATTGCTAAGTTAATAGACAATAGACAATGCTCAGAAAATATCATCAAGCTCTCTACTCTATGCCTACCTATTTCTTTTCTACATGAGTCCATTAAGAGCCTTATAGCTGTTGTGCAACATTTGTTTAAAGGAATCAGGATTCAGGAGCAGAAGAAATAAATGGCAGCTTGAACTTAGGAGCTGAAAGGCCATTTTACTGTGACCAGAAAACTACAGAAAAACAAAATAAAAGACAAGGAAAGTTGTCAATCGACATTTATGGTTTACCTGCCGTAAGATTTTACCCACTGACTGAATCAAGTGCTCAGTTTCCCGTTCTATTGCCAGATCTTTGTCCGAGCTGGTCAATGGATCAACACTAATGATGTCGGAGCCCGCCTCGGAAGAGTCACTGCTACCCCTCAAAGCATCGCATTCAGAATGGCTAGTTGCAGTCCGTAATTCCAACTCTTGCAACATCCTCTCCAGTAATTCGACATCGATTCGCTTCTTTTTCGTCATATCCAATACCTTTTGTACTGCTTCCAGTGCCTTCAACGAAGAAACTAATCAAGTTCAGCTTTTTCATCAGCAAATAAAACTTCAGACTCACATCTGCCTTATGAGTATCTATCTCCCAATCATTTTTGGATAATTGAATATACAATGCCTCGTCATATGACCATATCATGATTTACTTTGATTATATTAGTACCACGTGCACTAAGATACTTGGATCAGAAGGTGGATACGCTATCTTAGTCAATTGCCCAATTTAAATCATGGGGTGACTTTTAGATTCTCTTAGATCATGTAAGACAAAATCTAAGCTACACTCATAGAAATAGGTTCACGGAAGTAAATGATGTCATGAAAAATATGAAGAGGCACGCAATCAAAATTGGTTCCCCTATAGAATTTCAGAAGTGTCTTGCAGTCTTGAAGAGGTCCGAACATTATAACTTACATCAAGCAAATTAGTATATATTAAGAAATAGAAAGATACCAAGGGAGTATAGAAAGTGTACCAGGGTGCATATGTATAACAACAAATAAGATTTTAAACTTGTCTTAAGAAGTATCATGGTCTTGAACTTATGAGTCATACAATGAACTTCCAGAAAAATTATAAAGCACAGATATAGGACACATAACAAAATTGACAGGGAAATAGTTTGGTAATCTACAATATGGATTATATATTTTTCTAGACGGAAAATTTACAAGGATAAAAGAAGGATCCCAGATGATATTCAATGACCTAGAGAAAGCCTATGATCAGGTACCTCGTGCTCTAGTCTTTCTTCTCTTTTCTACTAGTCGCACTATGACCTTTAGGGGGGGGGATAACCCCCCCCCTCATCATGAACCTAATTGATACTGAGGAAATTTCCATAACAGCAAGGCTCTGTCCTGAAACTATACTTGATTAGCCAAGTTTTAAATGGCTAATTGATAGTAAATATAATGGGATTCTATAGTGCATGCTATTGCTAGCCTTGGTGAACCAAAATCTTAAGCTGTTACAAAAAGCTGACTGTAACTTTTGCCCCACCAATTCTGATTCTTCTGAAGTAATAGAGTCACTCTGCTTTGTGTACACTTCAGATACTTCCTTTTACCATTTCAACATATTGAAATTTGGAAGTATGTGGCCGTCAAAGTGGATGCACTATAAATTGAAAATTATGAAGAGGCCACACCAGTTTCTTTACCTGATCTGATACTTAAAACCTTCTCTCTTATTAGACTTCTGGTGAAAAATACAATATTTCTTGCAATCCTGCTTTGAAGACATCTCTTTTGAGCCGAGGGCTTATTGGAAACAGCTTCTCTGCCCCATAAAGGTAGAGGGTAAGGTTTGCGTACATTCACCCTCCCCAAATCCCACTTGTGGGATTTTACTGGGTATTATGTTTGTTTATTTCCTCTACAGTTCAGATTTTTCTATGGAGTTCGACTTTACATGGTGATTTGAAGGACATCTTAGAAGACTGGATAATGGATTTTAACTTTATTTTCAATATCTTTCCTTATATTAATTGTATGGAGGGATCAGTTACATAAAGAAAAGTCTATCCCATCAAAGATCATCAAAAACATGATGGTTGCAACCGACTTAGAGATACTATCTAAGTGTTCAAAAAGATTTTGCATAAAATGTTGACTATACCTGACTGAAATTTCCAATATCTGCAGCAACACGGCTAAAATTTTCCCACATCTGCCAGCTGTCTCGCCTGTAAAAGGTCTCCAAAATCAAACAAAAAAATTCGAAGTGGGACGGCATGATTTTACTAAGTGTGTTTTCTTCCATTGCTCTGGTACCGGGGGGAAAGGAAGCGAAAAGTATACTTTCAGATTTATCCAACTGTAGATGGGTTGAAAAACTGGGTTTTGTTGTGGTAAAAGAAGCGTGAGTCTGGGGGTCAGAAATTGCTGGGCTAGAGAGATTGGAAAGGATGGGTTTCATATCCTCCCACTTTTAGAGCCCCAAGAAAGTGTAAGCCATACATATGGACACCAGAAGAAAAATTAAAATATGAAATGTAGGGAGAGTATAGCAGGAAGTAAGTACTTCAGCTTCAATGCTTCCTTGAATGCAATAAAAGCTTCCTTGTTTTTCTTCTTAACCATATGCCTGCATGGTCAAGAACCAAACACATGAAAAGATAGCAAAAGAAGAAATAAAAAGTTATTATGACATTTCCAAGGACAAAGAAGTAATGCAAGCAGGATCGATTTAATCCACAAAGAGGTGTCAGTATTTTGTGTAACCCCCCCCCCTCCTCCGCGTCTTGTGATGCAACTTTATCATGTCAATGGTTGTTTTTTCTTACCATAGCTTGTAAGGATGTACATTACACTCGGTTTCTTCCTTCATTAACATGCTTAGTAGCCTCGAACTAAAACAAACATCATGCTTACCTCCACCTATTTAAATGATAATATTCCTATTGCAGTAGTTATCAGTTTATAAGTTCAAAAGAAAATCAGAAAAGTACACGAGTTATATTTGAAAAGGAACAATGATCTCAACTTGTTTTAATAAGGTATAATGATCTCACTTATCAAGAGTTACTTATGTGACCACCATAAATGGAGGACAAATGGATGACAGAGGTGGGTGATCAACCCTGATAATTGTAGTGTATGGAGGTCCATCAGGAACATATGGCAGCTGGTCAGGGAGAGAACAAGTTGTAAGGTGGGCAATGGAAAAAAATTAGTATTCTGGAATGACATTTGGTGTGGACAGGAGACACTCAAAAATGTTTTCCCTGTACTGCATAGTCTGAGCGAAGCACAAGAAGCAACAGTGGCAGCATTATGGACTCAAAAATGTTTTCCCTGTACTATAATTGATGTTTTAGACTCAATTAGCCATAGAGCAGTAAGAATTTGGGGGTTTTGTATATAAGGTTTCAGTACAACCCATGTGCTGTTTTGTGATATAATACAACCTTACTAAATTCAAGAAAAAAAATTATGGACTGGACTAGGGCGAAACCTGTTTCTGAGAAGGAACATAAGTGATTGGGAAATGACAAAAATAGCAAGTTCTCATGAAACAATGCATATGGCTACCAATCTGACAAGAGAGGAAGATAGACTAGTGTGGAAGGGGGAGAGAAGGGGAGAATTTACTGTAAAATCAGCATACAGAGAACTCAGTTCTACTGAGGTGCAGCAAGCAGGATGGCACTGGAGGATGATCTAGAGAACAGAAATTCCCTACAAAAGGTGAATTGCTTCACATTGCTCTTGGCAAAGGAGGCAGTCTTGACACATGAGAGCTTGAACAAGAGGAAATCCAATCTATGTTGTAGATGCTATCTATGTGAAGAACAGGTGGAGACAGTCAACCATCTCTTTTTTACACAACAAATGGACAGATCAATTGTGGCAGGTGTTCATCCACAAGAGGAAGATCAAGTGGAAAAAGTCTGGGAGAATTATAAAAGTCCTACAATGCTGGAACAGGGATGGAAATGTAGGAAAAAAGGAGAAGAGATGGAGGACTGTCCCAGCTTGCATTTGGTGGTTTGGAAGGAAAGGAATCAAAGATGTTTTGAAGTAAAACGGAACAATCTATTCAGAAGATAAAGACATATTTTTGGTGTAAGCAAGTAGTGATGGGAGATACTGAAGATGTGTTTAATGTTATTGATTGGCTGTAACTAGAAGATCTTAGGAATGATGTAAGTAGAACTCTTTTGAGGGGGACTACACTTCGATATTAGTATACCTGTGGATAGATAGAAGTAAATGTTACCTTTCTAAAAAAAAATGAGTTGCTTTATCATTACAGCCACAATCTCAGTTACTTAAAATTCACTCTTCACAGGTAGCAAATATGAAGTTGCAAACTATCATAACAGTTGGGCCATGACAAGAAACACTTCAAAAACTGGATGAAATCTGAAACTCTACTGTGCTAGCTGCAAATTCTTCAAGAATCTAATTCTTGGAAAAGTAAAAAGAGAGTAGAAGAAGAAAAAGAACCAGCTGAAATTTACTAATTTCTTGTCTGTACTGGACACTATTGAGGAACATGATCCATGTTTTACTGAAACACGTACAAACAACTAGCTACTATTCCATAATACCAAGTGTCTTCCTTACTTCTCCTTTTCACAAGGGTCGTTTAACTTATTTGCTGAACTAGATGACAGACCAATCTATAAATGACTTTTGGTCCAACAGATAATTGGATTCATTATTTGATAGCCAATAAACACAGACAACCAATAAGACCAATACATGTCATCTGACCTATAAATTTCCTAAAATATAAAGGCGAAAGAACATACAGGCAAGCAATATTATTCCAAGCCTCTCCATTTTCAGGATCAAGCTGAACAGCACGGGTGAAGCCATCCAGTGCCTTCTCAACATCTCTAGCCTGTAATATTCCAGATGAAGCAAAAATCATGTAGGGAATGCATACTAGAAGGAAGAGATATGAACACTACAGAGTATCATGTGCATCCCCTTACAGCTTATAGCCATCCCATGAGTAATTACAATCAGCATACAAATGAAAATACAGACCTTTAAAGCAGCAGCACCAAGTGCAAACCATCCATCTGGATACATAGAATTCATTGCCATTGCAGATTCCCTGAAAATAAAGGATATATAGATCAAATCAGTGTATAAGTGGGAAAAAATTAGTTGATATTTAACAATTATCAGGTGAATGGAAACATGCAGATAACCATAGATCTTTTGACTTCTCGTACTCCCCCCTGTTGTATGCACTACGGGCAAGGGCACGCTGTAAAAGGAATTTGGATCCCAAAAAAAGTTAGAAGACAAGGGAAAAAAAATAGAAAAACAATTGCAATCACTAAGGTAGGCTATTAAAAAGAATTTGGACCCCAAAGAATTTCAGAAGACGAGGAAAGAGAGAAAATAGAAAAAACATATGCAATCACTAAGGAAGGCAACAAGATATTCTGATTCACCTGTGCTCGAGCTGACTTATTCCCAGACACTTCTAGGGCTTTCTCATAGCATTTATCATCACTTGTAACATCTCCAAGGGAACACCTAAAAGAGGATTAAATGGTATTATACCACATAATTTATATTTATACCTAAACATAAATTAACATGTATGGTAACAGAGTCAGGGTTAAGTATAAAAACGAAAAATGGTGCATCTAATAAATATAAATGAATTCATTGTAATGCATGGAGAGGAAGATGACCAACAACTTAATAATGCAAAAGCTTCTCCAGCAAAGACCTTTTTTCTAATTACAAAGTGAATACACCTCATTGTCGTTGACAGTCCTTTCTTGTGGAAGAGATAGGGAAGATCATTAGCACAAGGAGACTGTGCATGGAAGATCACGTTGCTGCTAGAATGTAGTAAGGTAAAATTGATAGGATTGCAACTTTTTATGAGTATAGGAAGGCTTGAATCTGGGATAAGAACTTGGTCAAAATAACCCTTGACATTTTGTGTTGATAAATTTTGATTTCTCAAGGAAGTGTTAGCGGAGTCCTAAAAGTAACATTTTGCCAACAAATCAAACATTCAGTAGCAAAGACAACTTCAACTGAAGCAATTAGTAAGGTTCTCACTTTTTTTCGCAATCAAGAAATCACCAAAAGCTAGTGGCACAAGGTTCAAAAGGTGGAGGGTCCTCCCCTCTACCTTCTCCACTTAAATATCAGGCATTTATATGCAAGCAGGGTTCAAACCCGTAACGTGAACCTAACCTAAACATCACATCACGTGTTTTTCTTTTACACCAAAGCCCTGAGGCAATTAGTAAGGTTATTATTACAATTGACACAAAAAAAACAAAAAGAATATAACAACTTAATATCAGAATACAAGACACAACAAACTAATAGGTCATCGTGAATGCAGGGTAGAGTTGGGGGTGGCAAGATGAAGAAAAATGGGCCAAGCATGAGGGAGAGGAACGCTTAGAAAAAGGGATTGCTATAAGAATTGTCCAATAAGATCACCGATTCTGACCTTAGTTCCGGAGTAGTAATGTTATGATTATAATTCAGAGACCAAGTTCTGTAACCAACCGTAGGAATAATAGTCTCATCTCTTGCTACCCCCGAAAAATACAAACTTAACATGACTCATGACTCATGAATCAATGAAGCAGTAGCAAGTAGCAAGTCGAATAGTCGAGGTGCATGCATGCTAGCCCAGACATCACTGTCATCAAAAAAACTACAACTTGTTAATTTTTATCATCTTACCTCATCAGTAACATGCAGACAAAAGTGCTCAAGTCTAAGTTTTACCAATTAACCTTAAAACATAAGGAAATTTTGTAGCATAAACAACCATGGGCAGTTACCTAAATGGTGAAAGAAGTCATTTCTTAAAACAAAAAGGACTGTTGACTAGTCAAACTCGCATAATAATTTCTGACTCAAGTTTAAAGCCCGAAAAAATTCTAACACTACAGCTTTGTCTCAGTACAAAGTTTTTGCAACGCATCTCTAGATATGCAGTAGTTTTTGGAGATTGATAGCAACGTCACATCATCTCATGCTATCCCTCATCAGATATCACGGAAAGACAAAACTCCATAAAAGGGCTACAAGGATCAACATCTTGCTCTCATAGTCGTACTTTTTCCAAAAAACCTCCAAATTCATTGGTCAAGCTATTTAATAAAGGAGGCTTCGGGTGTTCAAAATGAACATATATCACAGACATATAACAACATTGGATTACATGTATGATAAATGAAACTATGACAGCTTATTGGACTATTGAACAAGAGGCCATTGAATTATACAAATAAGTTTCATGATACAAGTGAATTGATTACTGTATCATTAAAACATTAAACCTCCTGTTCTCCAAATCATGCCCTTGATACCTTGTATAGATCAAAGATGCACATGTTCTCTTTTGATGACTCGAAGGATTTGTATTTCTTTTTCTTTTTGCAGAAATTCAAAATTAGAAACAGGAAAAGCAGTTAAAATGATAAAAGGAAGGTAGAGTTTGGTCAGTATACCATAACCTAGGGTCACAAGGTCTTTCAGATAACCGAGCTTGGATAAGTTCAACTGCTGCCGCTTTCTTCTCCATTAGCCTAAAAGATTCAAACAATATTTCAGCTGAAACAGCACAGAGCCGCAGGTAAAAGTAATGTTTTGAGAATCTCAATTATACCTATAACAGTATATTAAGTTATCCCAAAGCTCAAGATCCTCATACACTTTAACAGCTTCCCCTATCAAACCACAGCTCACTAGCAGATCTCCATACTCCCTGAACAAGAACTGATTGCACTTGTTAACTCACTGTATCTAATTATGAGAAGGCATTCCCTAAGCAAACATATTTACAAAACTAGTCCAGTAATACATGCACAAATAGTATCATAAATTTACCAGTCATTTTTGCACCAAGTGCGCAATTTAGTTTTTATATAAATGTGTTTAGGATGTTGAAAGGCGATGAAAGGCGACAAGGGTCTGCCTCGCCACAAGGCGAGGCGCTCACCGTTTGAAATGCAGCACCAATTAATACCAAAAAATTAAAATATTCAATTGCATATGTAAATGATCAAAATCTCAATAGCAATTACATATTAGCAAACATTTCAATTGAAAAACAGAAAAATAGATTGTACATACTAAAAGTTTAGAACTTGAAAGAGAAAAAAACATACTCTCTCCGTTTCAAAAAAAGTAGCCTACTTTGACTTGGCACCGAGTTTAAGAAAATGAAAAAGATATTTTAATATTGTTGCCCTAAACTAAAGCTATGTCAAATGTACAAAATTGCCTTTTAATATTGTGGTCTTAAACATGCCAGGTGGAAAGCCGAAATTAAATGTTACCAAAAAAGGAAAGAGGTCATATTGGTAGCCTTTATTTTAAGAAAATATAAAAGGCGACGCCTTTCTCCTTTCTCGCTTGCTCGCCTTTTGCCGGCATGGTGTCGCCGTTTGAAGATCGCCTCGCCACAAAGCTAAAAGGCAATAAAGGGTCGCCTCGCCTGTCGTCATTGGCGACAAGGCTATCGCTTTTCACAAAACTGTATATAAGGGACTAACATTCATGACACCAAAAATACAGGAATTAGTAACATTGCATGTCAATGAAGAGTTATTTCAGAAAACCCAAGAAAGTAAATTTGGATAGAGAGAAAAGCAACTGTACTTGCGCAATGCAGGAACCGTAGGGATGCTAACTCCAAAACAACAATGCATCCTTTGTGAAGCTCCAGGAGAAGGATCATTTATGCCTTGAACCTGAGGAAGCTCAACTAATTATTTTAACACAAGCAAAAGTATTCTCGCTGCAAAAGGCAAGACCCAAATGGGATAACTAATGAGCATAGAATGAATTTTAAAAGTCCCTAGAATTTACCAGTTTATCCATCATCAGCAATGCACGCTGCTTTGTACGGCCGCGAGTTGATTCCCATCGAATGCGTAATATACCACACAAATGTTGTAGCTGAATGAACGAAAGATACTTGAGTCTGTTGACATTCCATCATAATGGCATAAAGCTCAGTATAAATCAAGTACAGTACAAAGTCTGGAAGGAGAATGACCCCCATAGAAGCAAAACAAGAAGTACCAGCAAGATGATACAATACACAATGACTATAAATCTGATTTTCCTTTTAACATACTATTGGCTGTGACACAAACTAAAGCAGCTGTATACATCCTTTTGAAGTTTCAAGGGAATAACACAAAGTGGAGCACCCAAGGGTGTGGCCTAGTGGTCAATGAAGTGGATTGAGAACCATGAGGTCTCAGGTTCAAATCCCAATAGAGACAAAAACACTAGGTGATTTGTTAGCGGAAACATAAAAGAAAGAACAAAAGATTTAACGTAGTTCAGATCAAAGTGATCCTACATCCATCAGAGAACAACTGCCTTTATATCATTAACAAAAAAATGGAAGATATCCCAGTAATACCTAAGAGAGTTGCTCGCTCAACTCTCAACTCTCTACCCTCACAAAGATATATGATTTTTGGGATGGTTAAACAACAAAGTGATCATCCGTTTATAGAAGATCAAACTTTCCTTCCAAGCTCAAAAAATGAAAGGAAAAATAAATCCAAAATTTGTCCTCCACAAGTTCAATTTCTAGCCAAGTAATTTGGCACATGTGATACCGTTACTTGAGTTAGACCCAACAAAAAACCAACTCTTTCATGATTTCTTCTCATCTGTCTTGGTCTTAGTGGGCAGGGTTACTTGGTACATGTTGCTGGTAGGAGGTGGCAGAGATCCCGTAAATGTTGGTCCAAACACCACGGGTAATTTTTTTAAAAAAAAAAAGGTAGAAGGGTGGGAGGCTATGAAGAAGAAAGGAGAAAAGGAAGGAAAACTAAATTGATATTCTAAAGTTCCCTATAACATTTTGCAACTGCAAACAATAGCTTTATAGAAGGAAAAGAAAGTTATGCAAGCATTGCCACCAAGAATTTAAGCAATTCAGGTCATTCACTTCAACTATTGTTTTCTGCAAACCCTCAACCAGTTCCATTTCTACTTATAAGAAAATAAGTTTTCCTTAACTATCAAACCCACACTCATTCACGGCTTGGATGGGTTAAGCTTTTGATTACATGGATTATGTTACTTGTTCTTGTATAGGATTTGCATAGAAGTAAGTCAGAAACCTCTGGTTCTCTTGTTAACACGATTTTTATTTGCCAATTCAATATTAGAAAGATATAAAACTGTATTAGGCTAAAATAGTAAAACCAGTTAAATCTTCTTTTATCCAAAGAATCCGATGCAGTTAGCGAGAGTTGTGGTAGTTCAATTTGGAAGGAAAGGCAGTTCAGTCATCTGCAGGTAGAAATCCTAAAAAAGGTAAGTATGCCATCTCTCCTAGCCTTCTTTCTTGCCATGATTCCTTTTCCTGCACCAAGCCAAGTTAGCTCATCATACGGCTTTTTATTTTTAATAAAGGCTTACAGTCCTGTCTCCTTACTTGAGATATCTGAGATAGCTCCGTAAACTAATAACTTCTAATAGACGAGCCCATTATCCTTAACTTCCGAACTTGCTTCGGGGAGGGGGGCGAAGAATTCTAGTTGTAGTTCTTCTTCTGCCTAATCTTTAGTTCCGCTTTGAGACTGAATCCTTAGAACCATGTACCTAAGAAGGCGAGGACCTTTATAGCCATTATTAAAACTTCTGTGTGTAACTCTGAATCTGATGTTTCAATTAAAGCAATTGCAATGTAAAAAGAAAAAAGAAAAAATTACAGTTAGAATGAAACAAGATAAACCTCACCGTAAAAGGTGATGACTGCTGGGAATCAATTGCCTCAATGTAAGGAGCCATCTCCCACCCTGAAACAACAGCACACGCATGAGAAACAAAGCCCGTCGGATGCTCTCTCCACCCATTCCAAATACCCCCGGATGATACCCCTGATAAAGTAAAGATAGACCCCACTTCCACATCATACATGCTTCATCTATAATTTTAAACACTTCTGAGATTGGCATTTCTTGGCCTCTCGAAATCCGGAGAGGTCGGCTTATCTTTAACCATTTCTTTTCAGCAAGCTCGTCAGCATTACCAATGCTCTTACTGATCTTCCCAGGTTATTATCTGCGGGCGACAGCCATCTTGTTTTCATTTTCTAAGCCTAAGTATTCTCCTACATCTCTTCTTCTTTTCTTTTTTTTGTAATTCGTATTCCTCAGCATTAAGGCCTATGCTGGCCACCTCCAAAAGATTATAAACAATGAGCCTAGGAAACTCACACTAATTAAAAGGATCCTAGGAAATCTACCAGCTGAATTACATCATCTATATTTCCTATAGGTGTACTCTCGTACATGCCATAGTTTAAATGTTTGCACTTAGAAGTTAATGCAGTAATTCAAGGACTTCAAATCAGGAAAAGAAATCTAAGGTAATAATGTGCTAACTTCAGATGAAGAGCAATGATTTCTTCTTGAAAGCAATCAAGTAAAGATCATTCATTGCTCTTCACAGTACCTATCAAGTAATCCCACTCATGGTGGTTATCAACCTAGGTAATAGAATCAAAAGAGGAAATGGTGCTATTTTCAAGTTTTTATAAATGCAAATTTCTGAACATTGAGAAAGCTGTATGAAAAAAAGAATGTTGTCAAACACTTTGAAGTGTCCAAAAAAGAAAGGAGTAACAAATATCCCAAGGGAGTATGTTCCACATTGTCCAAAACAATGCCCTTCAACAGTCGCACCTTATGCTAGTCCGATAGTAATAACTTTTTCTATAATCAAATAAAGCAACAGCAAACAACAGATAGCAAAATAGGGATTCTTAATTACACAGTCAGGCAGCTTACTTTGCAGTTCATCACTCCGAGCTCTCTTCTCAATAGAAAGACATTGTGCTAAAATTATTGCTTGCTGAGTAGGCTTTAATTGCATAGAGGCTATGCTGTGATTTTGAGCATCTTGTGCGCTACATTCTAACTTTTTATCATCCTCCAAGAATCTAGGGGTCATCAATATGTCAGATGCTTCATGAGTTTCACTGGGACGTTGAGGAAAAGCATTTTCACCTTGAGTAGAAACCTTATTTTGGAAATCATTACCAAGTGAAGCACTAGAATCATCACCATCCGCACTACCTACAAGAAGAAGCTGTGCTTTCGGTTCCGCCTGTATTAACAGAGCACCCTTAAAGTATATGCTTATGAAAAGAACTTTCCAGCAATAACTGAACGCCGACATATTTCAAAATAACATGTGAGAAAACATACCTGGTGTACAGTGCGAAAGCCCAAAGCCCCACTTAGCGAAAAATTAAGTCTGGATGTTGCTGCAGCTGATTCAAAATGGACCCTAATACACAAATTATATCAGGTAGGGATTAAAGCCATGCTTCCAGATAAGTAGGAACACTATATTGTTGAGCAGATTCACTATACTAGAGAATTATAAGCTGAGATCATTGATTACTGCACAAAGAAATCAACCGGTGCCATGAAACAAAATCGGAATGACGGATGATAGCAAAATGGATAAGAAACACAGATTAGATGCATGTCACTGAGATAAGCAGCTAGAACAACTATTAAAATTTTCTCTTTGCCTTTTGTTGTTTCCTGCCTAAGTATGATTCATAGGATACAGATTTAACTGTCAAGTATACAGGAGTAGAAAATTAAAGAACTTAAAAAGAACAATTAAAAGACGAAACAGGGACAACTCAATGAAAAGGAAGATAACTAGCAACCTAACAAGAAAAGATAAATAGAACTGAAAAGGAAGACCACCCATGAACAGCAGCACAAATAAAAGATCCAGATTTCACCAAAGCAAAATAAAGGCTCACAAGCAGTCATCCGTTAACTGACAGAATACATATCATGCAACTCTAACGAGATGAGCTTTTTATTATCTTTTTAGCCCTGTTTATAGACTGGCAAGAGTATAGAAGCCAGCATGAAAATGAAATCAGTACTAACTTTGGATAGGATTCATGGCAAATGACCCAGCTATGCACAGTTAAAGAATTGTGACTGAAAATATCATAGAAGCTTCTACATCAAATAGCTAACCTGGAAGCATCCACTCGCCCATAGGTAAGTTCCATTATTCCTGCCTCCAAATGAAGCATAGATACAATAGCAGAAGCATCCTCTTCTGATATCAGAGAAGCCCAATAATATCTTGTTTTCTCCAGAGAACCAATATGTTGCAAACTTTCACGCATGAAGACTTGCAATAGATCAAACAAAGAAGACGAGCGATCATCTAACAACTTTTGTTGGATGATTAACAGCCTAGCTAACCACCACGAGATGCTTCTGGCTCCATCAACCCCCGAGTTGATTCCTTCTGACAAAAGATCTTTCGTCCTCATAAGCAGTATCTTGGCAAAGGTTATATACTACAGAAGGAGGACCAAGGTGGGAGGAAAATACAAAGGAAAACTTTGGCATCAACTCAGTGGTGTATGCAATAAGATAATTTGGTTAATCAGGAAAACACAAGTCTTTGTAAGCATTTATTCCAAGAAGCACACATACAGATATATGAACTCAAAAAAAATAAAAGACTAGGCATTAGATGGATGCATACTTGCAGAATAATATGCTTCCCTGGATCAGATCATTTTACATTATCAAGACTTGTAGGTTAATCCCATAGGAAGTTTTAAATAACCTATTAATAAATCTATGCAATGAACTTGTTGAGAGTACAGTTTGGTACCAAAAGGGCGCAGATTTAATGAGTGGGTCAAGTGACGCAATGCAGTAGATTTACTGTCTTTACCCATTCAAACTCAATTCTCTATTTCACACCTATATTTAGGTGTATCTTCCCTTTCATTAAAATCAAGTTAGAATCAATGCCAACAATTATCTCTCTCTTTCTTTCTATCATCTCAATGGTTATGGAATATAGACCTTTTTTCCTTTTCTTGAGAATTTATAGACTTTTTTCTTTGTGTTGCTTCAAACGGGTAAAGTAATCTACAACAAGCAGATAGATCTTTTCATCATGTCAATAACTTTCAGCTTTACCGATGATAAATAGCCAATAGATGAGCCTACACTTGACAGAATATAGGGATATGATAAATCAACATTGATGTTTCCAGAAACACCACTGTCATACTAGTTCATGCTCACAAGAGAACTCAAACGCGTCATTTAGCACAATATATGTAATGAAGGGAAATTTACCTGCAAATTCGAAAACTTAGCACGCAAGTCGGAACCAACTGACATTAACTCCTTTTGCGCCCACACTTCCCATTCTGAGCATCCACCAGAACCAGTCTTTATCTCTTCTTCACCAAAAACTATTGCACCTAAAGGCATTGGTGGCAGCTTCACCGTTGGCCTATAAAACAACAAAGTAAGACACTCAATAAATACAACAAAAGAAACATATACCTCTGCTTATACACCGCCAATGCATTAAGACAGGCATCAAAAGGTTGAATATAGTACTTCTCTACACAATATAATCATCCTTCATTCCATTCAAAAGGTCCACAATTCTTTTCTAATCTGAAATATTTCACATAAATTTCTCACGTTTGATTTGTCTTTTTTACATCTTTTACAGAAAGATACTCATTTCTACAGTCTTTTAATCATCCTTCACATCATTCCAAGGGCCTAACAATTATGTAATTGCAAACTGTCTTATAATTCTCTACATTTCTTTTCAGTAAGTTATTTTAATTTCAACCCACACTTAAACTAATGCTCAAACTAAATAAAAAACTAATCTTGGACACAAAAATTGGTAATATATAAAATGGGCATTGAAAAAACTAACTAGACTACTTAAAAACTTTCCAATGTCTAATGTTGAATGTCTTTCTTATGCACAAAAGAGAAATCTTTCAGTAGCATAAAGAAAATAGATTCAAATTGACAAAACCACAGGGAAAAAAAAAGGACAAGTGTGAGCAAATATGTAACGCGGGTGTTAAATAGAGACTAACCCAGTAATATTACACTGAGTAAAACCAAGAAGAGCCGCAACAGCAACAGCCATAACAAGAACAGCTTTATACAACTTCTCAACACTATTAGGAACAGATTTTTCAATCCCATTTGCATTTACGAACAGAGTAACACACTGAGGCACAAATTCTGAGTAAAAAGATTCAGCAGACTCGGAAGAATCGTTGAGCTTGTGATTCAGTTGTTGTGAGGTGAAAATAGCTTTAGCTCCATCAGATGAGAGTGCTTGTGTGTATTGACCCGATTCGATGAATTGCAGAACTTGTTCAATAAGAGTGTGGAGATGAGAAAAAGAAGTAGTGGGTGTGGATTGATGGGAAGAAGAAGATGATGAGGATGGAATAGAGCAACGTAAGAGACGAAGCTCGAGAGCACGAAGAGATGAGAGTTGGGAGTTTTGTTGTTCGGCCATGGCTGCTGTTGTTGAATCAGTGTATTTTTTTGGAGGGTTTATGCAAGGGTTTTTGTATTTGCATCAATTTAACACTATGGTATTTGTAGTGTATTGTAGCAATGAATATTAATTTGGATAAATTTTATAGTTTTGTTGGTTACATATATGTTTGAATGATAAATTTACTGTAAAAAATAGAGTTATTATGAAAAGAACTGAAATATGGCTATCGAATAATAAATAAAAATAAAATGAATAGAAAATAATAAGGTAACGATACATTATTATTTAAAAATGTATTTTTAAACGATATTGATATGATACAATAAAATTTAAAAAATGAATATTATATTTTGAAAAAGGGTCTAAAATACTTTAAAGTATTGGCTCCAAAATACCCTTCTCACCTATCTAGTGGGTCCAAAATACCCTTGTCATCTACCTTTTGGGTCAAAATTGACCATTTATTTAACAGTTTTATATTTAAACTATTTGAATATTTTTTTAAAATACGTGGCTCTCAGCTATTTGTTATAATTAAACTTATAAGTATAATTTATAAATCAATCCACTACCCACCCATTAGTAATTAAATTTCTCTAAATTAATAAACCCGTCACATTATTAATGCAAGCTACTGCCAATTGAGTGTTTTTAAAAATTATAGAAGTAAATTATCATATATTCAAGTGGCTAAATAAAAATCATCGATAAACTTAAAAGTCTGACTATGTTCATCTTAATTATTCTTACGTCTCATTTATTTGATGTTACTTCAAGGTAATTTTTTTCCAAAATAATATATTGAAAGTTTTAAAACAAGTCATAGATATTTATAAAATTATATTTTAAAAAAGTGCATGAATTAATTCTGGATGTATTACTTCTTCACCTTTAATCATGAATTTTTAATTCAATTTTGAAAGAAAGTGTCCTCCTAAATAAGCGGTTCAACCTAAATTTAATTGGGGCTTCGATTCATAATCTATAATTTCATCGTGTTTTAGTAGTATTTATGACGATTTTGATATTATAATTAGATTATTAATTGGGTGAGGTTTAGTTAGTAGTGAGTGGGTAGTGGGTTGTTTATAAATTATATTAATAAATTAAAATTATAACCAATAGTTTAACGCCAAATATTTTTAAAAATATTTAAAGAGTTTAATTTTAAAATAATTAAAAAATGGTCAATTTTGAACCCAAAGATGAATGACAAGGGTATTTTTGAGCCAATATGTGGATGAAAAGGGTATTTTGGAGCCAATAGGTGAATGAAGGATAATTTTATACCATTTTCAATACTTTAATGATATTTTATGCCATTTTTCAAAATTAATAATACAATACAGTTTAACAAATAACAATCATCCAAAGAAGGAGATGTTAGGTAATAATGTTTCATATGAACCATCTCAAAAAAAATATCACTTTCATAATTTAAAACAATTTTAAAAATAATATTTAATTTTATTGATAACAAAGATTAATTAAATCTATTCAATCCTTATGGTAGAAGATAAACAAAAATAAAGCATATTTGACATATGTTTGTGAAAGAAAAAATTATTGTTATTGGCAATGATGAAACTTCATTATTGAGAAAAATATAGAATTAGACCAATTTAAACAGGGGAAAGTTGTATATAATGATAAACTGGTAGATTAAATTAAATGTTATAATCATACTTTAATTTAATTGTACTTTATAACAAATTATTTGTCCAGTCAGCTCTCTCCCTTAAACTCTTGCTCATCACTAGGGGTGTGCATTCGATTTTTCGATTCGATTTTATACTATTCGGTTTGAATTTTCGGTTTTGAAGAAGTGTAACTCAATCCAAACCAAAATAAATTCGGTTTAGTTTGGTTTTTCGCTTTTTGGCTTGGGTCTTTTCAGTTTGGCTAATCGGTTATATCAATAATTAGAAACATAACAAAATTATTTGCAATTTAAAAAATTACATATATATATATATATAAATATAAATTTGGTTCTTTCGGTCTTTTTATTTTTATTTTTCTAAAATCAAAACCAAAGTAAATTATAAATCCAAAATCAAATCAAGAATCCAAAAAGACAATCCAAATTAAAGTTCGATTTGATTTTTCGGTTTAATCCAAATAGTGCATACCCTACTCACCACTCTCCCTCTCTCGCTTCCTCCCTCTCATTTTTATACAAACATAAGTGTATAAATTGTAGCGAGAAAAAATTGTATATATACATATATTTTCTTTCCCCTCTCCCAAATCTCGCTCGCCCCTCTTACATTTATTGCTTATACAAACAAAAACGAAATGTAAATTATGTTAGTGTTTATATAAAGCGAAAGAAAATTATATATACACTTGCAAATGCATATATTTTCGTCCTATACACTTATAACTATACAATACAAATATTTTCTTGCCCAATTTATCTTTTGTTTTTCTCTCTTTTCCGTTTTATACATACATAAATTATATAATTGATTTGTATCCAATTGTTTTCTTTGGTATATGTATAACAAATTATATAATTGATTTATTTGTATATATATAACTAATTATACATATTTATATTTGCTATAAAGCGAATTATGTAAATTTTGCTATAGCACAAATATAAATTTTATATTTGTTAGCGAAAGTTGCTCATTTAAATAAGCATTCAATACCAACTAAATCGTGTGATAACTTTTTAAATTATACTATAATGTGATTATCTAAATTTAAAAAAAGTCTGTCATGCTTTATACACTAACAGCACTAACTTTCTTTTTCTTTAGGAGGATATTAAAAATGTGCCTATAAAAAAGAAAAAAGATATTTTTAATCTAAAAGTACATAAAGATATTTTTTAAAGCAACCAACAATTTTAATGATAGAGATGTCCATCATTTTTAAAAATCGAATTATTAATAAATCATATTTTTTAAAAAAAAATAATATTATTTTTGATATTAGAATTTTAAAAAATTAATCAACTAAGCTATTAAGATTTTGGGCAACTTTCACATATAGCAAACAAAAAAATCATATTTGTATAATATAACAAACTTTACATAATTGCGCTCCATAACAAACATAAAAGCTGTATAATTCACTATACATATAAAAGTGTATAATTCGCTGGCCTAAATTGTATAATTCGCTGGCCTATTTCGCTGCAATTGTATAATTAGCTTTGCATACAGTTGAATCGAATTAAAATGTATGTATATTGCATAATTATAAGTGTATAGCAAGAAAATATATGTTTTTTCTCGCTTTATACAAAAACAGAAACACAATATATACACTTCTGTCGTATAAAGCTAGAAAAATTGTATTTCACTGCAATTGTATAATTCACAATTGTATAATTCTTTGACCTTTTTCTCTGCAATATTTGAAATAAAATGTTTGTAAATTATATAATTAAGTGTATAACACGAAGATATACATTTTTGCATGTGTATATACAATTTTCTCTCGCTTTATACAAAACAGAAACAGAAATTATACACTTCTGTGTATAAAGCGAGAGAGGCGAGAATGGGAGAGTGGCGAGCGAGACTTCTGGGAGAGAGACGCCTGGCAAATTTTTGTCAATGTTTGCTATGGAGCACAATTAAATCAAACCCTAGCTATTCAATTTAATTTAGGTTATTAGTTTGTTATTTTATACAATTTTCCCAACGATTTTCGAATAAGAGTTGCCATTATCCAAATAGAGAATTATGACCTGTCACCGATAAGACCTACCCACCCACGACTGCCACGTCAACAGTGTGTCTTGAAATTTCCACCTGCCTAACAGGTAAACCAGTTACCTATAATTGACTCTTTATCTCTCTTCTTTCTCTTCTTACCAACAAGCCCAAAAAAAAAAATCCCTGTTTTCTCATGGCTCGTTTCCTCTCAAATCCCTTAACCCGAACCCGAATTCTGACCCGACCCGTATTCTCCCCACCTCTTCTCCTCACTCTCCGGCACCGTTCAAACTCCAATCGCTCCGGCGGTGGATCCGGTGATGGTGGAGGTGAACCACCTCACCCTCAGTTAATCGAGATCGACCTAGATTCGTCATCTAGTGGATCGGACGGTGGGGTAAAGAAGTTGGAGGAGGTAATCCATTCGGTTATCGTGAGGCGTTCTGCTCCAGATTGGTTACCTTTTTTGCCTGGATCATCTTACTGGGTTCCACCTCCACAACCGTACGTGAAAGTTGGGGGAATACATAGTAATCGTGGTGATTTTGATCCTCATAGGATACTAGAGGTTGTTGGGAAAATGGCTGCTGTGAAGAGTCATTTTGGTTCTGCTTCTTCGTTATCGGCTTCCTCTTTGTTATCAGAGGATGAAACGAGGTCGGTTTCTCGTGTTCGTGGATGGCCTTCGTCCTCGTTTTTTACTGGAGGTATACAATTCTTATAAATTAGTTTACACTTTTAATTCTATCTTGGTTTTGTAAATTGACAAGTGATTTGGGTAGGAGGGTCTGAGGGAGTATTGCTATTCTCTTTTGGGTGGCTTTTGAGAAGTAAGAACAGTTACTTTACTTGTTTTAAGCTCGTAAAGATACGAGTTTTAGGTAATATATATGCCTAATAAATGGTATTAAGACTTATTTTGGTTACTGGTTGCCTAAAGCTGATGTCTTTCGCGTATGCAAGTGTAGATGATCCTTAGCTTAGAATTTAGATCAAGGAGATTCCTAATAGGCTAATTATGATTCCTAGAAAGGATGTCATGGATTCATATAACTGGTGTTAACTCGTTTAGGATTGAGGGCTGGTGAGTAGAACCGATTAAGATGCTTTTACCAACATAAACTTATTGTAATCAATTGGAGGAACAACTGAGATCATCTCTAGGGAGGCAAGCAAGTCTACTTGGCTCTTTTCACTTATCAACATCTGAATTTTCTACTTATGCTTATCATCAGAAACACTGTCAACAATACCCAAACGCCCTAAAAATGGTTTGAAATTTGTTTGCTTTGGTAGAATGTTTTGCGTGGGAACTGTTTCTTTCGAGATTATTGTAAAAGGGTCAAGCTGATAGATTTATTTTTTTTGGAGTGCAAGAAAAATGTGTGGGGAATTTGTATCTACATAACCAAATAGATATTCCTGAATTTGGATCCACCGGCCTATTGGGGCATGTATAAACTTTTGCTGACTGAGATATGTGTGTGCAAACTGCAATCATCCAGTGCCAAATGAGATATAGAAATCGTTAGTCTTAGCCTTTTATTTCTAAGAAATTGCATGTGGTTCTAAACCAACTGCAACTTTGTGCATGGTCTAGTGCCAAATGAGATATATCATCTTAATGCAGCATCCCAAACTCAGAAAAGATATCAAACACTACAAGAATAAGCTTTCTCCAGTGTTGTGTGAAGTATTCTCTCATAGTGAAGGGAGAGGCGAAGCCTAGTAACACAGCATCATGGTTTAGCCTAGCCCTGACTCTCCTTCGAAAGTGAGATACCGGCTTTCATAAGAGGGAAAGATCACTCCGTCATGCAGATTAAACACTGCAAGGACAAGCTTTCTCCAGTGTTGTGTGTAGTATTCTCTCTGTCACAAAGTTTAAGAAAGAACTGAAGAGGTATAAAACTTGTGGTCGAAAACAAAGCTTAGACATTTATGTGGCTAAATATCATTTCATTAGGGGTAAAAGAGAATTTAGAGATAAGTTGTCTCCAATTAGAAAAAGGTTACATTTTTTTTAGACAAACTAAAAAGGAAAGTGTACCACATACATTGGGGCAAAAGGAATAGTAAACACGGAAGTTTACTTTCTTTATTCAGTTGGGAGCTACATTGTACTATTTAATATATTTGATGGACTTCTGTTCTTCTAGTAAGTCGCATTGCAAGTTCATAAAAAAGAAGAACCTACTTCAAGTAATATGCCCTTAGGTTTGATCATACATAACATAGATATCACACTTGGAGAAGGGTGAACAATTAGCTAGAGCAGCAGATGGGATAGGAGCAGAGTTGTCAAAACTCAAAAGAGCTAAATGCATTCTCCACATATGGAAGCACCATTTACATTTGCCTATGTAAGAAGAACGGGTTATTTTGTAACAGATTTCAACCCTCCTTCGGAAGTTGAGCAGAAAAGCACCCATGTTGTTTTATGTAAGCGGAAGGACGACGAGCAACTGTTGGCACCCCAAACTGGGAACTACAACTGGAAATCTGACTTTAGGTAGTCATTATGATCAGATACTCAACTCTCTTTAAATGGACCGCCTATCCCTTTGTATAGCTTACACGGTGATTGGAACAAGGACACATTTGGTTTAGAATTCCCATGTGGAAATTTTCTGTTCATTAGCAGAATAGCTGAAATCTAATTGCATTAAAACCAGTGGAATCATAAATGGAAAAAACAAATCTTAATTTCCTTCACCTGGAATACTTGCTGCATGTTCTTTGGGATGTCTCTTATTTTGTCTTGAGAATGTGGTCTTTTTGCTATATATGTTCAAATAGGTTGATTCCTCATGGAGATGGGAAAGTAGTGGAGTTCAAAGACACCCTTAATGAATGAATTCTCTCAATATTTAGTTATATTTGTCTCTGGCTACATTTTAGTGGATCTGAGTTGCTGGAAATACAGCAGCGAACCTATCCAGTAGCTCTATGGTATAGTTGTAATGGCAACAATACATTGATGATATTCTTAGCATTTGTTGCTACTTGCAGGACCTGCTTTCCCAACCCCAGTGCAGGTGGTGGAAGTGGAGGTGAAGCTTGAGGACAACCCGGATAATGATTCTAAATCTGAGGACGAAGGATAAATGACCTGTCTGTGTAGTGAGCTTCTGTAGTAAGTTGTCTATCAACACTTGCATTTTGTGATCTGCATCTACTTTTCAGTTCCATCTAGAGGGATCTACTTTGATCTATCAATTATAGTTTTGAGTCATTTTTTATCCTAGCGGCTTCTGTAACATCTCATGAAATTTCCTTTTCTAAGCAAGGGCAAGCCGTTTCTTGGTTGACCTAATCTTCCAGGCAATGCGTCTTCCCCTTTTTTTCATGTGTGAGTGTTGGTGGGGGGGGGGACAAAAAGTCTGTTGGATGGGGACTCGAACTGATTAGAGAACTACAGCTGACAAACTTTATATTATACTACTTAAACAAGATTTGTGGTTTTGATAATACAATTTGGTTTATGATAAGAAATAATAAGATGTGCATTCCTCTAAGGGGATGTTTGGTTGGGTCTACAAGGATAATGTTGATCTGGTCTATTAGTAATGATTGTATTAGTTATGCTGAGATTAATGTAGTGTTTGGTTTGTTGTATTAAAATAACGTATAATGCATAATTTTTTTTAAAAAAAATACTTGTTCAGGAATATGATGGAAGGAATGTGGAAAAGATTTTGAAGGGCAATTGTGCCTTTAACCATGCATGCATTAGAACCCATTGCATCACTATTATCATATTTTTTTATGCATTAGTATACACACCTTAATACGAAATAGAGTGCATTAGCTATACCAAACAAGCCACTACTAATTCACAAAGGAGTTGTACACACTTCAATACCAAATAGAGTGCACCAGTTATACCAAGGTACTAGTTGCTAATGCATTAATTTTTTCTAATACACTAGCAAATGATCCCTAATTGTATATATTTGTTGAATTTGCAGGCTTAGTAACCTTGTAAATTCTTTGAAAACCTGGAAAACATAAGAAGCTGCTTACCTCATGAAGGAGGAGCAAACAAAGTTACACGGATCAGAGTTTGGGGTTTTAGTTCTTTAATCCGCGCTCTTGTTCAATGTAGTGGTTCAAGTTACACAGATCGGAGTTTGGGGTTTTAGTTCTTCAATCCGCGCTCTTGTTCAATGTAGTGGTTCAATGCTCAACCTAGCTAGAAAAAATCTATGTATTTATGATGGTGTTTGAACTCTATGATCTGGAAAATAATCAGCCTGCTTAGTTTAACGCTGTTTGCTTTATGTCCAATGAGTTGTCGCCGTAGCTTTAACCTGTTGTTGGTCAGCTTATCATCTATTACGACGCTATATTATGCCCTATTGAAGAAGATACTTGATAGATGTAATGTTAAATGGACAAGCTGCATCAATTTTAACCTGATCAACAGGGATAGTTTTAGTGTCACCTGTGATTCACCAGAAAGTAAGCATAGGAAGAGCTCTAAAGTCCACAATTACAACTAGATAATGTGTTGATCTAAATTTTCAGTATATTTTCATTATTTGTACATGCTTGATTGTTGGTAAACAGGAGAAGGATACAACAATACATAATGTTTATTGGCAGAGAACATAAATTGGCTCGAGTCTTACTAAAAATTACCATCTAAGAAATTATTTCAGTAGCGTAAAATGTTTTCCAAGGATTTATAAGTCTACCACCTTGAGAATGATTCAGGATCAAGTAACTTCCAATAAGCCGAAATTATGGGAAACTTACATAAATATATTATAATTAAAATTTTTTAATATAGTTTGAATAAGTCTGTTGATTTGTAGGGCTTGAGAAAGATTGGTACGATTAGTCCATTGACTAATAAAAAGTTATTAAAAAAAATAACATAATATTAAAATTTAAAATTAAAGAGAGTCCAAATTCAAAATAATTAAGTTAATATTTCTATTTAGATATTTATAATTTTTACTTGAAAAAAACTTAATAAAGATAATTTTATTTGTGGATTTGATTAACAAGTAGTAACACTAACATTATCTAATATTGTTTTGTCAATGACAATGATAATATTTTTTGTATTTTATAATTTAATTTAATAATTATAAAAAAATATAATTTTTAAAAAATGGGCCGACCCGGCAAGCGCGTAGCCCGTGTACCTGCAGGTTAGGCCGACCATTTTCTGACCCACTCAAAAAATAGGCTAGACCGACCTGATCCGTAAAATATCAAAGCCTATATGGATTAGTCCGGATGAGGTGGGCTAGACCATATTGACAGCTCTACAAGGGCAATTCTTGTATTTGCCTTTGTTTGTCGACTTGACCTTTTTATTTACTATTTTATTGATTAAACACTTCGATAAATTTTTTTAAAAAAGTTACTTGTTCATCCAATATAAGCACATTTAAATAACGTGCGTGCGATACACTCATTTTTGGAGCATGAGGCCTTATTATTTTTCCTTCATCTTTACTCATTATTTTTTATGTTTATGTCATTCTTCTTCTTTGTTATATCTGATAATGTTGTATATAAAATTAATTGTATTAAGCTTTTAAACGATCTTGTATTGGTGATGGATCTTGAGTATATCTTTGCGCTTTAATCCTATTACGAAGGATTTAAAGTTTTAAACTATGCTTCCACAATAATAGTTTTTTTCATACGATTCAAAAGAAAAATTGACTTCCATACTTATGGATTAGTATATATGTCATAGTAATCTCGAATTTTAGATCGCAACACCTGCAACATTATTTCTCTATAATAGAAAATAATTAACTATTGTACGAGCAGTTAGTTACTGAGTGGTCTTAACATTTACTAAGCGGAAAGTCCATCATCAAAATCAAGTAGAGGATTGATTAAATTGATTCAGTTTGACCATACAATTTACTAGACAATATGATTGATACTATCCAATGTTCTTGTTAATCCATGGTTGATCACCTCTATGAATCATTATATAGAAGACTAAATAATACATCGTTCTATAAAAAACTAAAGTCACAATTATTCAAACACAATTTTTTTAAAAAACAATTAAAAATGAAAAAATAACACTTCATAAAAGTGACAGTGTTTAAAATCGGAGATTGAGTCTACTTCAAGATATAATCTTATAACTAATAAACTTTTTTTAATTCGACCTTTCTATCAAAATATTCTAACCAATAATATTTTTCCGATCATACATTAGAGTTCAAATCATAATAACAAATACTAGTAATTTGCTAATGTAAAAGAACCAAAATTATAATGAAGGATAAAATATGTTTTTTTTTTTTGGATGTTTATCGAAGGAAAAAATGAAGAAATAAATAATATAACACGTGGCTTGTTCCTATTGGAGAAGATAGTGAAAAATACGTAGCTAAAATATAGAGCAAAATTAGATTTAACATTTATTTTTTATTGAAAAAAAAAGGCCTAAGCAAAGCTCCGATCTTCAAAAGCAAGAGAAAATAGAGAAAGCTTCAATGGCGGAAAAACATGAAAATCTCAGCTCAACATCGGAACAACAATCGTCTTCTTCTGCCTCTGCTTATCAAAAATCTCCAGAAGAAACCCTTAAGAAACAACCCCAGGTGCCCATTTTCTCAATTAAGTTTTTTTTTTGGTTGATTGAATTTGGTGGAAATTATTTGTTGGGTATGAACTTGAATTGAATAAATTTGGTGTTTTTTTAGTGGTGTAACATTTCTGAATTAGATGGAGTTCCTTATTTTGTCTTCTCGTTTTGGGAATTGAATTAACTGTTTTGGTTACGGTGGAAAATTAGGGTATGTTATAATTTGATGTAAATGTTTTTGGCTTAAAGAGTCTTTGTTGTATATTCTATGTATCTACGATTCAGGAATTACATAAAAATACTGGTGTTGATTATAAAAAAAAAATTGATCTTTGGTCTATTTAAAGCTGTTGATAAGGGCAAAGTAAGTAGGAAAGATGCATGCGATTTGAAGTTCCGCGTGTGTGTAATAGGGATACAGTATAACCTCATCCCGGAACCCTCTTCCAAGTGAAAACAGCTATGCCTTCCCAATTTTCTCCTAGCTTCTAGGTTGAAAGTGGAGTGCTCGTTCGCCACTGGAACAATCTCTCTTATCATGGCTTTAATCTCTGGAGTTCAATGTCTTTTTAAGTGTCTAAAATCAATGTCTGTTGTAAAAACACCTTACACACGTGTCCTTGGGTGTCCGTTGTTCATATACAGTAATACCTCATCTCAGAATCCTCTTCCAAGAGTCAACAGCTATGCCTTCCCAATTGTCTCCCAGATTCTAGGTTGAAAGCGGAGTGCTGGTGCGCCACTGGAACAATCTTTCTTGTCATGGCTTTAATCTCTGGAGTTCAATGTCTTTTTAAGTGTCAAAAATTAATGTCCATTATAAACAAACCTTACACACGTGTCCTTGGTTATCTGTTGTTCATATACAGTAAAACCTCATCTCAGAATCCTCTTACAAGAGTCAACAGCTATGCCTTCCCAATTTTCTAGGTTGAAAGCGGAGTGCTGGTGTGCCACTGGAACAATCTTTCTTGTCATGGCTTTAATCTTTGGAGTTCAGTGTCTTTTTAAGTGTCAAAAATTAATGTCCATAATAAACAAACCTTACACACGTGTCCTTGGTTATCTGTTGTTCATATACAGTAAAACCTCATCTCAGAACCGTCTTCCAAGAGTCAACGGCTGTGCCTTCCCAATTTGCTCCCAGATGCCAGGTTGAAAGCGGAGTGCTCGTGCGCCACTGGAGCTTGTCATTTTCCGGGCTTTTATCTTTGGAGTTCAATGTCTTTTACGTGTTAAAAACTAATGCCTGTTGTAAACAAAACCTACACACGTGTCCGTTGTACATACACATTAGCATGTTTCTGTGAGTGGAAATGAAAGATTAATGTCCGTTGTAAACAAACCCTACACACGTCTGTTGTACATATACCTTAGCATGTTTCTGCGAGTGGAAGTGAAAAATTTAATGTCTGTTGTAAAAAACCCTAGACACGTGTCCGTTGTACATATACCTTAGCATGTTTCTGTGAGTGGAAATGGAAAATTAATGTCCGTTATAAACAAACACTACACACGTATCCATTGTACGTATACCTTAGCATGTTCCCGTGAGTGGAAGTGAAAAGTGAATGGCCGTTGTAAACAAACCCTTCAGACGTGTCCGTTGTACATATACCTTAGCACGTTTCTGTGAGTGGAAGTGAGCTATAATGAGGAGAAGTACAATGTCTTGGTAGCTGAATAACCCTAATGAAGTTATAGGTTCTTGGTTTTCTTGCTTTTGATGTCATTATCAAGCATCCAACATTCTCTATTTGTACAGCATTAATTACAGCTCGAAAATTGGTAAGAGTGAATGTCATGCTTATGCATCGGAGGATGTTTTATGTCAATCTACGTGGACTGCTAAACATGTGCTGAATCACCAGACGTGTTAAAAAGGAAATCTATCTTAAAAAATGTTTTTTTTGGTGGGGGTGGGGGAAGAGGTAAAAACTTACCCGTACTTGGTAGTTATCCTAAACCAGGAAAATAAGATGTCCTTTTAACTTTTCAGAGCCACGAAATGCAATCGATTAGCTGCATAATCCCGTGTCTTTTGGAGAGCTATGTTGCAGATTGAAATGTAGAAATTCTAAATTTTCTTTCTAATATTGAGTGCTTCTTGCTTTTCATAATGTATGGATGCATCGATTACTGTTTTTGCTTCATATGCGTGGATGCGATACCATTTGGAATATTCTTTTAATTTGTTGCTCTCTTTATTATAGCCATGATGTAGTGGGTAAATCAGAGATTGGTTATCCGTTACATTTCGATACTGATTGAGATTTAAAACCTATTTTGCAAACTGATGTGAAGGGAATTTCCGAACAGCCTGACACTGCTTGGCATTTAAGACCCAAGAAATAGCTCATTTAGCACTATACCTCCCACTTCACTCTCATATCTTTTTTTTTTTGACTTCTACATTTAAATATGTTTAATCATACAAAACAAGATACAACTGGATATGTTTATCCAAACTGCTTGTAGCATTCCTCGTTTACTTGGTTCCTCAATTTATCCAATTATATGAATTTCTCTTTATCCAACTTGTGGACCATAACAATTCCATTTTTAGAGTATGATTTTTGATCAATTCCTACCTTACCATTCAATCTGGTTTTAGGGGTGCGTGCATCAAGTGACGATTAATGGAGTGGTAATCTGGAAGAGTTAATTCGAAAGATGCTTCTCTCTTATGAACTTGATTGCACCACTCACGACAATTGCTGAATTTGGTAGGATTATAAGTCTTGGTCTATGCCTAACAATACATTCATGCGAGTTGTCTTCATTATGGCCATGTCGAA